TCACAACAGACCTGGTTGTACTCCACTGGTAACGGCTTCCCACTAGAACTCCAGGAGTATCTCTTGAAGTCAGTCACTAGTGAGCAGATGATTATTATCAGAAGGGATTTGTGGAGATTTTTCAGAAATTTTCACAGATTGAAATCATGACATTAACACCGTTGGATGCCGGCTCAGTGGTCTAATGGTTAAGTGCTCGCGCGCGGAGCCAGTAGGTCCTGGGTTCGAGCCCCGCGTGGTGCGGGATCGTGGATGCGCACTGCTGAGGAGTCCCATACTAGGACGAAACGGCCGTCCAGTGCTTCCAGGTTTTCAATGGTGGTCTAGCTTCAACTGACTCATGATTTCTATCTGTTAAAAACAATTTACTTTAAATGTTCATTTTTGTACAGAAAAATACGAGTATTTATAGATGTTAACATTTGTTAAATCAACATCATATTTTGGCCAATCAGCTAAAAGACATATTATGCTACTGACCAATAGTAGCACGCCACGTTGATATTCTAGAAAGCTACATCATGCTCTGATTGACTAGGACTCTTTGGCTCCTTTAGGACTTCTGGAGGCTTCGTTGCAGTTCTCGGAAAGCCAACTCAAAACTAATTTTATCTAAACTAGACCACCATCGATAAGATACTGACTATTACTTTATAATTCGGTGTAAATATCATAGTTGTACAGTTGATTAGCCTTAACTCGAATCATTAACTCCAATTTAAATAAGATGTTTACATTTTCTATTTAAGTTCATGTATTTACAAAGTTTTCATTGACCTTTTGTCCATCAAGATTTTTTATTGAACTATAAAACACTATCAGCATTCACAATCTAGTTGTTTACTTTAAATGATCATTTTATATAAAACCAAAAACAAAGTTAATGAGTATTTTATCACTAATATCTTCTTCATCATCATTATATTTTTATTAATAAGAAAGTAACAAATAAAATTCATAAACTGCTCAATGAGAAGAATATTTATGACCATAACGAAATAAATAAAAAAAAGGCATTTAATGCTTGGGGGACAAAAAACCCAGTTTTAATGATCCTACAAAAAATATTTCAAAAATCGAGCGAAATTTTTTTATTTTATTATTTTCTTTTTCTTCATTTGTAGTCAATTTTATTAAGATAATTTCTTAGTTTACCCATTATTCAGTTGTCTATATACAACTTGAAAATGAAGAGGAATTTGATAGTGGTAACAAAAGGGAGAAAGTGGTAATAAAACGTTTATTATTTATTTATTTATTATTTATAAATATGATTTTCGATTATTCATTATATTCAGTTCAATAGTTTAGAAGAATTATGCATCATTTTAGATGATAAGGATTGAATGACAGTAAACTGTAAGGAAGAAATGCGTGTATATATATAATTTCATAATACCTCTATAACGAGTGAGAATACAAATGGAGACAATCTAATGTACTTGAACAGGAAATTACAGAATCTTTTAGTAAAATCTGAAAACCATACAGTAAATACTTCATTTGCAAAATATCAGTCAATCATATTAGACTTCATTATTCCTTCGTTTTCACACTAATCAATCTCTGTTCTGGTTTTCTTCTCTTTGATTTTCTCAACCTTCTACCGATAGACACTTTATTTTCTATTGATGGTACATACTGCTTATATCTATCGACATCAGTAGTACATATCACACCTCGATGTAAGTAGCATGTGAAAATGAATTTATTCAGTTCTTTTTAATATAATGAACAGAAACGTAAGTGTTAACTTTATGATTGGAAAATGCCACTAATTCATATTTCTCAATCAATCATTCTATATACATTCTATATGAGGTCTAATAGACAGTTAATATGATATACATTTACGTGCATCCAAATTTCATTCATCAACTTCAATATAAACGTACAATTAACTACTAAGTAGATAAGGCATAATTCCTGTTGTATTAAAATACATGATGAATGTATTTTGTATATGCATGAATAAATTATTTTTTTAGAAGAATTAAAATAGAAGAAAAATAACATAATACATAATTCTTACTGATAGTAGCTAACAACTAATATAATCAGAGTTAGTTTAATAGTTAAATTCATGAGACAATTAAACCTAGACTATCATGGAAGACTTGGAAGCACTGGCATCGTGGATGCGCACTGCTCAAATTAAATTGGTAATGTTTAAATGACTAATATGCAATAATAACTTGAATCGGATTATACATTAAATGAAATTATGAGATTAATGATCACAATGAATACTGATTAGATAGGGTGAGAGAAATAATAACACAATTATAAGTCCGATCAAATGTTCAGTCACAGTCTTTGTTATCTGTATTCATATGTCTTTGTATTATTATTATTGGTTCAACATCATTATTAACACATGATTAAACTACTTAGCACTCACTTCACTTTATTATTTCATCTTAAATTCATATAACTTTGTACACACGATAGTTTTCTATCAGATTTGTAGTTACACTATTAATTCTATCACTTCATGTGATCCAATATTTATTCTGATCATTAATTTGACAATTTCATTAAATGTATATATCATAGTTATTCAGGATACATACGATATATGTTACCCTTTAATTTCGATAAATAACTATAGAATCTGAAGAGAATTGATATGTTTTAGTCAAAATTGTTTTAGTCACTTGTATCAATCCTATAGGTAACTGTTCAAATTATAATTTCTGTTTTCTGAAAAAAAAAGGGTTGGAAATCTCTTATATCCGTATTGAAAAATAAAACAGTTCATTATTCTCTCCCCAATTGTTCTCTTTTATTTTCAACTATAAAAATGTCAAGTTATTAAAAGTTAACAGTTTGTGTTAAAACTACTGACGCCATGTCATACATATAAAACAAGTTTTTCACTCTCTGAAACTAAATGGTAATTTTACTAAATTGACGTATATTTTGATATTTTTTTCTGAATGTTTGTTTTTGTTTTGAACAATTTGTTATTAACATTTACCTAAAATTGAATTATTTACACCAATGGTATATTAACAGTCAGTAGGATGTAGTTAGTGTAAATTGGTTTTAATTTGTAGTAATGATGGTATTGTAGTGTTGGTTACTATGTTAAAACTACATAACTTATTCTAGCATATTCTGGACAAACAAACTTAACCATTCTTCTCAAGCTACATTTTGACCTTGTTAATTATTCGCTTATTAACCTTGACTCTTTTTATATGAGCGAATGTGAGTGCACTTCTTATCTTACTCATCACATATATGCAACTTATTTTTATCTGACTATAAATATTGATTAGCGTTTGGTTAAATTGAGTTGGCTCACACGCCTTCTCCACTGCGTGTCATCTGACTTCGCTTTCCTCACTTCGCTTCTCTCGCTTTGTCCCTCTGATTTTCTGTCCAGATCAACCAGTATACAAAATATACGTATTCAAGCATTCATTCTCAAATTTGATTTATTTAATTCCGTTGTACACTAACGCGGATTAAGTCGATGATTTTATACGAGGATAGACAATATATATTTCGACTGCGATCATTCATACGATCTAATTGGGGTCAGGTTCAGAGCCACTAAACTTTAAACGATATACACTATAATTAGCTAGTTACTTTCTGTACTATGATCCATACGATGAAATTAATTCATACATTAAAGAAGATTAATTTCTAAGGAAAATGGCATCACAAAACAGAAGTAATCATTACTAATGAGCTAACTACTAAACTTACGATATAATTTGCATTGATACCTTAGTAAATAAATATCACCTTGGTAATCTAACTGATACGAATAACTTTGAAGCTGGACGCTGTATAACTCTTCATAACGCCCTGTACAAAAAATACTCATCTAGTAATCTATGCTTTGAAATACATATGTGACTTTAGTTACAAGGCTTTCCAACAATGTGAAGGTTTGTACCGATTACAAGCATCAACAAATCGTTTAACTGAGTTAAAAAAAATCCAGTGGAAAATACCTAGAAACAAATTAAATAAAATAGAACAAGAAGAGTAATACATGAAACTTTTCAAACAATACTATTTAATTTAAGTAGCTCTACAAAATTTGACTTGGACAGTGAAATAGAGATAAAGTTGGATAGAAGCTAACTAATCAAAAAAGCTTCCATTCCATCAGTCCAGTTCCCTTTTGTTTGCAGAAATTAAACACTTAAACAGTTTGGCGAATCTGGTAAGTTGGCTAAATTTAAATAGAGTGTAGAAAACAATTGACAATAATAAGATATCAATTCTATCTTAAACATATGTATTCTTCATTTTCAACAATTTTTAACAAGACATCGCACTACTGAGGAGTTCCATACTAGGATGAAACGACCGTTTATTGTGTCCATGTTTTCAATGATAATCTAGCTTAGATTGACTTGTGAATTCAACTGTTAAAACACTAAAATCTCCACAAACTCCCATATTGATAAAAGTAGAAAGATTTACAGAAAAATACACTAATTATAGTGTAGTGACCGAGAAGACAACTGTCCTCCTTTCGAATACATAAATCAAGAACTCACTTCCACGGTTCAATTCATCGTTTTTCATGAATCAATTATTTTTGTTGTACTTTAGTTTAATCATCATGAATTTACATAACAATTGTCTCATGAACTGATGATAGATATATTAAAATACATCAAGTCAGGTCACATGTAAATTATTAGTTATTCTTTAGTGAATGCGAACACAAGTGGGGATAATCGAATGTATTACAACACAAACTTACAGAACATCTCAGTAAAATCTGAGAATCATATAGTAAATTCTATATTTGTAAATTATCTCTGTTCTAGTTCTCTTTTCTTTGATCTTAACCTTCAGCTCCCAAGCATTTCAATTTCGATTGTTGATACATACTACTTATATCTATCGACATCTGTAGCACACATCACAGTAGTTCTTTGAATAATTATTTATTGTTTATTTAATAATTCATTTTATATTAAACATTCATTAACTCATATTGATCAATTATTTTTGTTGTTGTTTAGATTACAAAAAGAGATCAACATCATGTATATGAAATGGTTTATAAGAAGAAAACCTATTTCAATAATAAAGAATCAATCTATTATACAAGATATTCATTCACATATTTATATAATAATACGTAGATTACGTATGCAAACATGTTATATTCTATTAATTTGTTGTTGTTTTATATTATTACTAATATATGAAAAACAAGTAGTTTTATCATATACATGTCAAATGAAATTATTTCAATTCTCTTCATTATGTTCAATAATCAACATAAATAAACAAATATTAGATGATTCAATTTATGTTGAAAATTTACAAGAGACACAATTTCAAGTAACTAAAAAATGGTTTAAATTGATGTTTTTTTTAAAAATAAAATTCATCGATTTTAATTAATACACTTGTGATTTGATATCATCTTATTTACCCTTAGTTACTAAAAAATGATGCTAGATATAAGCAAAGAAGGATTGTGACTAGCAATAGAATTCAGGACGCTCGTTTCGTCTTATTTGCGACTCATCAACCGAATGTACCTGCATCTCAGAGTTGATGTTCAACCCAGTAACGTTCGCGTTATACACTTAGCTACTGAGTCCTGATAGCCACTTGCTTTTGCAATTGGGTGAAGTTTAAATTCAATTGATGTTGTTTTCTTGTATTACCTATTGTTTTTTAGGAGTGCAATTTATCAGTCTCTTGTTGAAATATGTGCATCCTGTGTGGATTGCCTTGACATTGCTTTAGCTCACAAACATTTTAGGCTGAGATGGAATTCAGGACGCGAGTTTCGTTCCATTTGTGACTTGTTGGTCTGTTATACCTGCATCCCAGAGTTGATGTTTATTCGAACGATACTGGTTTCTATTACTGGATTATACAATAACTTTGGGATGTAGGAACATCCAACTGACGAGTCCGAAATAGAACGAAATACGCATCTCGGTTTTCACTGCTAGCCGACACCCATCATTAATTATAATTTTGTGTATGATTTACTAAATTGAGGAAAAAAGTAAACCATTTTTAAGCACAAAATTTTATTTTAAAATATTTTATATGCAGCTATCGATGAAAACAATGATATGTGTTCCATTTTATTCGAAACTCTTCATCTAAATTTCCTCCTACCCTAACGTTAATGTTAATGAGCCCAGCATCTTTTGTTTCAAACTCTAGCGAACTATTGAGTCAAGACAGCGACTGACCTGTTCTACAGCTATGAAAACATTAGTGTGCATCTATAGTTTGAAGCTACTTACCTCAAAAGCTGAGCGACTGTTTCAAAGAAAAGAAAAATTACAGTTTTTGAATGATCATGTGAACTGATTACAAATAGTAGAATTGTAACTGCTTACTCAGCTTCAAACAGATCTAAATATCAAGTTAAAGTATAAATGATTTTTAGCTGATTGCTTGATAAACACCACAATTTAGGACGATCTGTAACTAAACGTTGATTTACCTAAATTATTAAAAAATACCGTTATAAATCACTAACCAAAAGAAAGTTAGTTTTAAGATCTGTCTCAATTTCAATTTGCTATGTTAAGGTGTTTATTATATTCCAATTAATTTATAAAGTCTAAATAATTAAGGATTAGTAGTTTGTGTAAAAGTGTAGATAGTGACATAGTTCTATGTTGTCCTAACCAAACATAAATCTGCAATCGTCAAGCAACTTGATGGTGTCTATGAAATTGAATTCAAACTAGTGCAAATTTTCTGTTTAGGACCTCTTTTTGTATACCACTAACTGGACGTGAAAGCATAGTGTAATATCGTACCAATTAAACTGATGATACACACTGCAGTACTGTCTGTAGATATTATTCAAAATATTACTTTGATAATATGACATTAGTTACTACTAAGTAAACAATCCATGTATCTGAATAAAATTGTTCATGCTTTAATAAAACAAAAGTATAAAATATTTAGACAGTTTGCAATAGTTTACCACTTTCATAGTTGGTTATCCAATTTACTACTTTGTTTATAATCCCTATCCTTCATAATTTAAAATCATCTGAAGTAAAAAAAAGTGATTATGTCAAATGAAAATATCCAGTTGTATACCGTCATTATCATAACTAGTCCCTCTATTTTTTTTCAGAAAAAAAGAATGTTTTTCCACATCGAAGTACCGATCAACTAGTTCGGTTAAATAAATTGTTGTACAGAATCGACACATCAAATATGTAAACATATATGTATATATATTTGTGTGTGTGTGTGCACATATATATATGCCTAAAATTAAAGTAAATAAGTCGACAAATCTGACAAACATATATATGTATATATATATATTAAGTGATATCCAGTCAAACATTTAAAATCTAGTTGTCGGGGATAAATGAATCTATGAAACTGCTTAACAGTAGAGGGTAGAGGGAGATATTGTTATTGTAATGTTTCATGACAGCAATTTCAATATTGGTATAGTTTAGAAGCTTTCCTATGTATTACTTTTTTTAAAATTAAAAAAACTGTTTACACTTTTCTAAACTTAAAATATATAGTCATATTAATAAAAGCTTTTTAAGTTTCATCTGTTTATATTTATTTTATAACACATGGTAGTTTAGTTTGGAAACAGTTCAACTTTAACACTACTTCAGTATCTAACTTATCAATGTGGTAATGCTAACACCTCAATGGTATTTATATTCGTTTAGCATTTTTTTGATTGTTGAAACAAAATGACATTTCTAGCTGATCTCAAAAGGTAAAAATTGATTAAAGTTAAAATATGAATTTTCAGTCTTCTTTATGATGCTACAAGGGGTACAACAGAAGGTGAATCTTTGATATAGTGCTCATATACTTATTTACAGTAAAAATTAAAAAAAATTGTGTGTAGTAGGATCGACTGATGATATACTATATACAAAGTGTCCTAATTTGTTTTTTTTATAGTATCAAACTTACGTTTAAGAAGTACTCATAAACTGATAATGATTATCTGCTTCATTGTATTTTGAAACATGCTGAATATCAGTGATTAATTTTTAAATTATATAACTTTATTCATAAGATGTTCTTGATAAGATTTAATCTTCAGCAAACCAGGTGGCTTCGATGTGTTCGAATACGTATTGACAATTATAATGTAATGACAGCTATGTTTCTTATCACAGTTAACTCTTTTTTTTGTTCTTCTTTGTTGAATTTTTTCAATATATTATCTTTTTCCTTCATAGAAAAACATTATCACAATTGATATTTCACTTGTTATTGGAGGTGAACAAGCTGCTCGTGGACTTGTAACATTAATTAAAAGTATTTTACTTCAAAGAAGTTGGGAAAAATCTATTGAATTTTCTAAATTTTCTAGATCATCAAATTTGAAGTCAATAGGAACATTTAAAGAAAGGAAATCAATAATGGATAATGTGAATCAAAATAATGAGTGTTATATAAGACATATTAATTTACATTTAATAAGTGATTATCATGCATTCAAAAGTCTTTCAACATTATTTGATACATGGAATATTCCAAATTTTGATGTCCATTTTTATCAACTGGAACTATATCTGGTATGTACTGGCTTCTTGATTCTTATGTATGTATATATATATATATATATATATATATATAGATAGATAGATAGATATATGATTTGCAGCAAGTTGTTTACGCTTTTAATGAATGATAAGTAAAATCGCTTGAAAAATAAGTAAAAAATGAGACAGCAATGTATTCATTGAATACATTTCATTTTCTTAAAAAATAAAGATAATTTAGAGAATAAACCGATTGTAGTTGTTAGTGGAATTCAGAACACTCATTTCATTCTTCTTGGAACTAGTCATCAGAATATACCATCCACTCATTGTTGATGTTCATACTAAGATTAAAACCTAAAACATCGATGCATATTGCTTTTAACGACTGTATTCATAAGGCAACTACTAACTGATCATAATTCAGTCTTAAATTTGAACAAATAAATAACTCAAATCCATATTAGTAATGAATTAGTTAAACACATCAAAAAGGGTAGTCTCAATTTAATAAAAGACTAAATATGAACTACCAAAAATAAGTTTCATCGAAGATACCTCTCACTACTCTTAACGCTATAAATCATCAATTTTTATCGATTAATCTTTAATTTCAATGGTTAAGATCATTAGTCAGTTGAAGCTAAACCACCATGGAAAACCGGCTCAGTTGTCTAGTAGTTAAGTACTCGCGCGCAAAACCACTAGGTCCTCGGTTGGAATCTCGCAAAGGATGAGGTCGTGGATGCGCACTGCTGAGGGGCCACACAATAGAATGATACGACCGTCCAGTGCTTCCAGGTTTTCTATGGTGGTCTAGCTTCAACTGACTAATGGTCTTAACCATTGAAATTACTATAATATCCACAAAACCCATCTGATATTAATTAATCTTTAGTCGACTTTATACTAGATACATTTCGTACTTGAGGTTAATAAATAGTGAAAATCATATAAAATCTTCATTCATACACTATTAGAAAATCGTTGCATAAAGAATGGAAAAAACTTTTTTAATTTTGAACTTGGTTATAGTTTACACCTATGAAAAACATCACATTGAATTAAACATTCAATGTTCAAGTTTTTTTCAATACGCCATAATACATCCATTCATGAGTGCTTTTCTGCCTTAATTTACGATAAGAGTGACTTGTGAGGGGAAAAAACATTTTTTAAAATTTATATTTGACTAGTTTCAATAAGATAAATATATTTAATGCCAGTAATGATTAATTATCCTCCCTGATATATTATTTGTTTTCCTTAGAAAAGAAAAAAACAGAATGTAAGAAATTAATCATGCTGAATGACAATCAGTAACTATAAACTCATGGAATAGTTTAATCTTAACTACTGGCTTAGTCTCATTAGTTATAAAGAATCGATTGATAGACTATTTATATTATCAAGTTTATTTCATTAAATTAATCATGACAAATAAATATCTCGACTGACCCCTTAGTTTCAGTTGTTTTCTTTTTAACAGAAACTTCAAAACTAAAGGTTGATTGTTCATAATGCAAGTAGAATAAGGCGAAAAAGGAACTTTGTGTAATGATCAAATCTCAATTTATTATTTTATAACTAAATTTATTTTATTTTAAAATGAAGTAGTTACACTAAGAAATTCTAGATAAACAGTATCGTCTGCTTATTATTATATTCTTGATAGTATTATATGAATCCTATTAAGGTAATTCGTATGATATTTGCTCAGTTTGAATGATACTATCAGGTGCAACGTTATAAAACCAAGCAAAAAAGTATATTGCAATCCCTACACGAAAACATCTCATAGCCGCTTAAACAATGATATAATTGTTAGGTGGTGGTAGTAGGAGTAGTACTTTTCTGTGACAATGATCAAATCCTCATGAAATTCCTCAAAATATTTGCACATGTAAATTATGTGATCATTAAAAAAATCTAAGCATTCAGTTTGCAGAAGTTGTGCCCCCAATATAGAATAGACGCAATATCCAAAATTCATTTTTGAAATGATCTGAGCAACTGAAATCAAACTACTTCAATTTTTCTTCACCATAAAAACTAGGCCAAGTCACTTAAGGAAAATAACTCAGATGAAATATAGCTTTCAATCATGATAGATAATTGATTCTTTCCTTGCCATTAAATATATGTACCTCATCAGTTTATTTTATCAGCTACCTATAAATCTTATAAAGCTCTGGAGAAATCCTCTAGCATTTGTTCATTTGCAGATTCAAATATAATTATCCATAAATCATGAAATATTTCAATGTAAGGAATTAAGAATAATTAAACATAAATCGTTTGTTCATTGTGTAATGACCAGGGTAATATGCTAAGGCCTCTATTCAACTAGTCATCGACCATTCAACATTAAGTCATTATTATGCTTTGTATATGCATGCGTTCAGGTTGATGCTAAAACAACATTCATATATAATTGATGTGGTCCACAGCAGATAAGATGCCATAATTTCAGATAGATATATCGTTAAGATCGATATCATGAATAGATCAACGTTAGACCACCATTAAAACCCCCCTGAAAGCACTGGATGGCTGTTTCGTCCTAGTATATGTGTCTATACTCAACAATCTCCACAACCCTATGCTCATAAGTATATAGTGTTGTGAATAACAAAATAGTATTAAAAATAGTTTATACTAAGTGATAACCTATTCTTTTTAGTATGATGAAAAAAACAAACCATACCACAAAAATTCATTTACACCATTTATCAAAAACCTACCTTTATTTAAATGCTAATGAAACATGTAATGTAAGTTGTTTTTTTTAATCATCATTTAAAGTCCATTAGATCATTTCCTGGTCCAATGAAAAAAAAAACAATTTTATCACTAAAACCAATATTCATTAACAAATTTTAGGAGCCTAATATGAATCTATGTATCAGTATACTAAGTCTTCTCTTCATTTATGTAATGGAAAGAGTCAACTTTCCAATAATTAGTAACCGGAACATTACCACAGACTGTTGTTTTTTTTCTTTTCTAAAAAATACATTAGGGAACTAAAATATACATATTTTTTAAAAAGTTTACGTTTAAAGTTATATCTAATTTACACAAATAGTTTATGATGAATATTATATTAACTAACATTATAGTTAGATTTTTGTGAAGTTAATTGAATTGTATTGCATATTATAAGCATGAATGTCGTATATTTAAACAGCACTTAAATAAGATGATCCATATAACATGAGATAGTTTTCTGACATTGACATGAAGTACTCAATTTGATATCTAGTGTGTTTCATAAGTATTATCCATATAAATAAGTTTCAGTTAAACATTGTTTTAGGTAAATGTTGGAAAATATGGCACTACTATGAATCATTTTATTTAATAAATGATAGCAACTATATACATACATAAATTCACTATAAGTGATAATAAACACAACATTTGGTTTTAGCATAAAATATCTTGGATACCTAATACTCATTATTCTGGACTATTTGGTTTGTCAAAACTGTTGATACCGGAGATTTTACCAGAATCAGTGGAAAAGGTAAATAATCCATTCAAGTTATTTTTATTAATCTAAATCTAAATATGAATAGTTAATTTAATTTTTTATTCTAACAATACAAATAAATATACTTAAATGGAAAACGTTTCATCAATAATAGAGATGTATAAGTGTGTCAAGATTATTATACTGCAACTGGTTTGTAGTTTTAAAACTTAAGCCAATGTGTAGAACTATTCGAAAAAGCTCTTATTTTGCGTGATTAACTGTTTTCGGAAACGCATCTACTCAATAAAGCGTACTTTGAAATGTGGCTTCAACTGAAGTCGATTATAAATTTTTTGATGAATATACTGTGTTTGGATTAGACAATATAAGTTAAGTTGTTTCAAATATTAAGCGCAGCAAAGTGCAAACTATTGAGGCTAATAATACACACAAATTTTGTCGTTTTAACGAAACTGTGTTTGAAAAAATCTTTCAGTTTGAAGAAAGTTTGCATTAGGATTGAGTTCAGCTACAGAACCTCTGAAAGTAAGAACTCATTGAACTAGATTATATTTCAGTACAGAGCATTCACACCTTGTCAGTAATCAAACATATTCTTCAGATCTTGATGTAAATACGTTGTTTTCAAACGATTAAGTGAGAATTTAATAGTGCACATTTATAACGCACTATATCTATAAAAATTAATATCTTTTTGTGGAGAATTGCATCAAACTTCATGGATTAAAAGTTGTGACCACATAACCGATTTCACATGAAAATGAAATTAGAGGTTTATTCGAAAAAGGCACTGAAGTAATAACTCTTATGTCAAGTTCCAAAATCTTTGAAAGAAGAGCAAAGAAAAAGGATACAAAAACTCATTTTTTTTAAAAAAATATAACGAATATTCTCTTCATAGAAGATTAATAAATATGATTTATAAAAACATATGAAGTAAAATAAACCTTTAGCTTGTTTGAAATAACGTTCCTTCAACATTTCAGGTGTATTACTTTATGAAATAGTTATCATTATATGTTATAGATGATTATTCGAATAATTAATATAAAATATTCACAGATAACTGGAATCAGACAAGGCTGTTTACTTTCCCCCTTCCTCATACTTCTGGTGGTCGACTGGATTGTGAAGACCTCGAGATCTGAAAAAAAAAGAACGGAATACGATTAAACGATTTGGACTTCGTAGATGATCTAACCCTTCTATCCCATTCACACGAACAAATGCAGGTCAAGACAAACAGTGTATCAGCAGTCTCTGCATCAGTAAGCCTCAGCATACAAAAATAAAAAATCAAGATCTCCAAACACAGCACGGAGAACACCAACCCAATCACATTTGATGGTGAAACTCAATATGTGCAAACTATTATAAGTCAAGATAATAAAACTAGTTTAATGAAACTAATAAGAATTTTATTCTTCTTAAGTCACGAAAATATTCGGAATACGTTTCTTTTTAAAAGACGATATATTTTACATTTAACTACAATATTAGCCCATTTTTGTTACAAATCTAGTTTGACAGAGGTTTTCATCAGTTAATATGTAAGAAGATGTTTGGTCAGGACTAATTATCTAAGGAAATAATTGCAAAGAACAAAATAAGGCCTTGATATCTTTGAATTAAGTTTGCCTTATATAAGCGTTTATTGTATAGATGTATTTAATTTTTAGGTTATTAATCTTGATGTTGATCTTCTGGTGAATTCTGATCTGTTGGAACTTTGGGCTCATTTTCAAAAGTTCAACTCCAGTCAAGTGAGAAAATTATACCCACTATTTATAACTATTACATTGAACTATAAAATAACAATTTGATTCTATAATTTTCCTCACTACAAAGAAACATCATATAAAACGTTTTTTGTCCTCATGAAGGAAAATTTCTTATATTCGATTAGCTTTTCATGTTAAATCTCATCTCAAGCAGAAACTAATTGAACACTCTTGTTGCAATTGCAGTGGCATTTCGGAGATCGAGCTGAAAATAATAGACGTTTGGCAAAATAGTATTTTCTGGGTTGAGTGGTTTGATCGTAAGATTTTTATTGTCCTTTTCAAAAATATCAAAACTACTTTAAATACAGTTCCAAATTAGTCTATTGTAATGCTTTTATTTGAGAATGATTGTCTTCGCTGGGGATTTTTTAATCGTCGTTGCGGTTGGTGTAGATTAATTAATATTTTATACGCTGATCTAGTGATCATAAATTTACCTGAATACTGAATTTCTAAAAATTCTCTGACATTAATAACTATTCCACTGTGAAGAGTTTTTGATATTTCTTCAGCCAAATTTAAGTCTATAGTAGTCTATATCCTTTAACAAAGGTGGCGATATGTGGTGCGATTTAACAGCTGAATTATGTTTATTTACGTATACATGAAAAGTGTTGTAACGGGTGTGACTGCAGGTTTTGATAAGCAGCGTATTTATCGATCGCTTCTGTGACAGTGGACACGTAAACACGTAGTGGACGACCTAGTGCCCTGATTGGCCCTGCTTCGCTGTCTGTCCTAGCCAGTTGAGTCAAGAACGCAAGTCACAGCCTCTGAGTTATGAATCATTGTATTTCAGACATACTCTATTTATATACCAAACAAACAAACCACATCGTACCATAAAATAGAGAACAACATTTACAAAATATTTAACAAGTGAAATAAACATCGACCAATAAGAAATGTACATTTAAGGTCCAAGGCCACCATAGACATAACACGATAATTATTGGTATATTTTTCCGACTATCCTAACAAAAAGTATCGGCATTGTTTTGAAGATGCGCTTTCGGAGTTGATGTAGTTCATTCTCTATATGAAGTAGTGTTCGTCTTCGATCAACATAGAACAGAATAAAGTGATTTTGTCAGTTTATTGGCAAAATCAATCTTTAGGAGTTTTAAAATTTCTGTGATATTTTTAGAAATTCTTACGTAAATGGTATTATGATCAGTTTGGAAGTTTTAGTGTTTTGAAGATAGAAAGAACAACTATTTGAGTAGAATTGCATGAGTTCATTTGATTTCATTGCGTTCTCCTTATTTATTTACAATCTGTAATATGTCACAAATCATTATTATAAATCGGTATACATTACTTGCATATGTGAGTTTGGTTGGTATTTATTTTGATCATGTATCAGTACAGTAAAATAACGATGTGAAAAAGTTTAAAAAACTAAGAAAAATGTTGCAACTATATAAATTCTGTAGAAGAATATTCTACAACACGGAAGATCGAAGATCTAAATTCAAGTGGTTAACTAATAAAGGAATGTTAATAATAATTAAGAATGAAGCGAGTAGACCTCGACTAGTTAGAACATGATCACTGATTTATAAAACAGTAAAAATAGTATCGTTATACAGTTAGTTAAATAGAAAAGTTTAACAAAAGCTTGTGATGAAACAAAGAACAGTTCATATCATCGAAAAAGAAAATATTTAACAACTATCCTTCTTTCGAATACATGAATCAGGAACTCACTTCCACGGTTCAATTCATCTTTTTCATGAATCAACCATTTTTGTTGAAATTTGGTCTAATCATCATGAATTTACATAACAATTGTCTCATGAAGTGATGACAGACATATTAAAATACATCAAGTCAGGTCACATGTAAATTATTAGTTATTCTTTAGTGAATGAGAACACAAGTGGGTATAATCGAATGTATTTCAACACAAAATTACAGAAAATCTTAGTAGAATCTCAGAAACGTACAGTATGTACTTCATCTGCAACATTTCAATTAATCGTCTCAGACTTATTGTCCTTTCGTTTCCACACCAGTCATTCTTTGTTCTAATTCCCTTTTATTCGATCTTCTTAACCTTCTGCCTCCAGGTATTTCACTCTCGATTGACGATACATACTTATATCTGTCGACATCAGTACCACACACAACAATTCCGTTCAACCTGAAGCTTAGATTTCTTAAAAAGTTCTAATTTTTTTTCACATAACTAAATGTATATGTAACTGTGTAAAGAATAATATATTTCAACCATCCTAATACACAATTACATAAAGTCAACTTCTATAGTAAAATTCCAAAGTTTTATTGCGAAATAAATTTTAGGCTTCAATAGGTCCTGGGTTTGAATTTTGCGGGGGGCGGGATTGTGGATGCGCACCGCTGAGGAGTCCCGTACTAGGACGAAACGGCCGTCCAGTGTTTCCAGGTTATTCATGGTGGTCTAGCTTCAATTGACTCATGATTTCAATCGGTGAAAATTTCTAAAATCTCCACAAAACCCCTTCTGATAACTTCAGTAATTTATTTTGAACTGTTGCCGTCAATTTTTAGACTTATCTGTGTTGTATTAAATATATTAGAATTTGAAAATTATTTTAAATCAGTCATTTTTATATACAACTTCATTAGCATCGTATTTGAAAATATTTTTTAATAGATGATTGGATTAGTTGCAAATCAAAGTCCATGGTATTTAAGAAAAACTAACCGAATAGTATGGCCTGCTTGGGTAATTTAGATCTTTATTCCTTATTAGTGAACATTTAATTTTGGTGATGTTATTTATTTTAATAATGAAATTTAAAGCAATTATTCTTTTTAGTAAATTTTGATAATGCAATGTGAAGACAAAGATTATCAGAATTATATGACAGATTTGCGCAATACATTTCGAACAGTCTGGTCACACATATACGTCATAAGAATATTTTTATATGAAAACTGAAAGGTCAACAAGACAGGTTAATGATAAGCTGTAACAAAGAAAAATAAAGTGAGATGCAGTGACCAATGGAGTTCAACCAAGTCTGTTGTGAGATAGTAACTCATTGAAGACAATGATGGATGGTCGCTCAATTTCGTTAATTGGTTGAAGTTAGATATTAACACCAATTAATGCTAGCTCAATGGTCTAGAGGTTAAGCATTCGCGCGCGAGGCTGACAGGTCTTGTGTTTGAATCTCGGAAGTCGGAATCGTGATTGAGCACTACTGAGAAGTCCCATACCAAGACGAAATGGCCGTCTAGCGCTTCCAAGTTTTCCATGATGGTCTAGCTTTAATTGACTCATGAATTTATAAAATTACTAAATCTCCACAAAACCCCTTCTGATAAAAGTGAAATACACAGAAACATTGTGATAACCACTCTGGATAATAAATCAGTATTACCAGAGTAGGCTAAGGACAAGAGCAATTTGTTTTGAACACATAAAGAGTGTTTCAGTTTCCATAAAGTCAAAGTTTCAATAAACCTTAGTATACGCTCTTGAAGGCTTTTGTATAACACTACAAATGTTGACTTGATATCAACCATATGACCAATCTCAACCAAATGTTTCGCAATGGAGGAAGATGTCTATCTATTCTGTGATCTTATTCGACAATTGAAATTCATCATATTATCAAAACTTATTAATGTAACTTAAAGATTAAAAATTATATCACACAAGCATTTATTTAACCTAAGTAAGAATATACAGTCGAAATAATTGGTGATTCATAATGTTAAAATGATCTATTTATCGTTCTCGTAAATTCATGAGCTTTCTGGAGATTAAAGAATCTTGTGAGTTTAGCCAACAGTGTGATTTTACAGCTGTTATAACTGTATCAGAGTCATACTTTTAACTGGAACAGTATTTGGCAAAAATGTTTATGTTCAATAAAGTATCATCTAAAAATTCAGATTTATCTTTCAAATACATATAAACAAACGAATTCTTTTAAATTCAAAGCTTTCTGACAATAATCTTCTACGAGCTCATATTATATGCTGGAATTTTATTCTCTGAGCTCAAACAAAAAAACTCCACCATAATCATCCACCTGACCTACAAATCTTCTCCGTCTCATTCAGTCTTATAATGATGGAAGGGCAATAGCACGGTGATTCGTAAATCTCTAACTCAATTCTTAGAGTAGCTGTTCCCATAAACTACTATAATTTTCCAGAGTGATTATTATGACGTATATGACATAGAATCAATTTAGAATTAGTTTATTTGAAAATTGAAAATATGTGAATTATTAATTTCAATAATTAAGGGAATGTATAATGAATATAAAGTAAAGAGATATTCAGACTAATTTAAAAACAGAAAATAGAAAGTAATGTGAAACAGTAATAAAAAAATATTTCGTGCTTTAAAAAATATCTGACTCTATGTTATATATTAGCGACACTTACTTACTTCCTTCCTTACGCTTGTTACTCCTCGTGGAGGAGCACAGGGCACCCACCAACACTCTGCATCCAACCCTGTCCTGGGCAATCCTTTCCAGTATTTTCCAGTTGTTATTCTTCCTTTTCATGTCTGCTTCTATTTCCCGAAGTAATATGTTTTTTGGCTTTCCTCTTTTCTAGTTCCGTTCAGGTTTCCAAGTTAGGGCTTGCCTCGTGATGCAGTTTGATGATTTCCGTAATGTGTGTCCTATCCGTTTCCATCGTCTTTTCCTAATTCCTCTTCAGATGGAAGCTGATTTGTTCTCTCCCACAGTAAACTGTCGTTGATGTATCAGAGTAATGGATGTTGAGTGTTTTGCGTAGACAATTGTTTATAAATACTTGTACCTTCTTGATGATGTTTGTAGTAGTTCTGGAAGTTTCAACTCCGTCCAGTAGAACTGCCTTGACGTTGGTATTGAAGATACTGAGTTTGATATTGGTTGACAGTTGTTTTGAGTTTCATATGTTCTTTAGTTGTAGGGATGCAGCCCTTGCTTTCACAATCCTCGCCTTTACTTCTGCATCTGATCCTCCTTGTTCATCGACGATGCTTCCCAGGTTGTGAAGGATCCCACACCTTCCAGAGTTTCGCCATCAAGAGTGATTGAATTGCTGTTCTCCGTGTTGTATTTGAGGACCTTGTTTTGCCCCTTGTGTATGTTGAGGCCTACTGATGCAGAGGCTCCTGCTACAGTGGCTGTCTTTATCTTCATTTGTTCGTGTGTATGCGATAGGAGGGCTAGGTCATCTGCGAAGTCCAAATCGTCTAATTGCTTCTGAGCTGTCCATTGTGTATTAGCGACACTATTTAAAATGAATACTTTGTAAATGAAGTAAAACTGATTGAAATTAGATAGAATTCATACCTCACTTCCATTATCGATTATTCAGCTACTTTGTTTAACACATGATGTTATGTAATCTTCCTTTTATCTTTCAATAGACTATTGTATTTGTAATTAACTATAAATATGATTGTACAGTTTAAGTGAATGATGTAGTTGAAAGAATATTTTCTTTGCTAAATTGTCTTAATTCCTTTAAAATGACAACATGGATTACTTTTAAGAATAGATTAATTGTGGCTAGCAGTAGAAGCCAGTACCGTCTGCTACAAATGTCATCACGTTATCCACTTAGCTACTGAGTCCTGATGGCCACTTGCTTGTACAATAGGGCGAAGTAAAAATTCATTCGATATTGTTTTCTTAAATCTTCTCATAAATGATTAGGACTGCAATTGATCAGTTTCTTGTTGGCGTATGTGCATACTGTGCGTATTGCCTAAATACTGCTAGGCACTATCCTTGTTTACTTAGAATGCTTGTGAATTAAAGTAACATTGAGGCATTCTGCACATTATGTACATATGCCAGCTAGAGACTGATCAATTGCAGGCCTAATCATCAATTGGATAAATCAAGTAAACAATACCAAGTGAATTTACGGATTACTTTGGTTAATTCATATGTTTTTCTTTATAAAATCCAAAGAAAGTGTTTATTTCACACTGTTATAAACCAGACTACAGGGTTAGTGTACAAGAAGTACAACTGACAGAAATTAAGCTGTGAACATAAATTAAATAATTTATAATCTTAAGCACATTTTATTAAATTTCTTATTTACCTGTACTAAAATGTAATAATAAACTTTACAAATTATACATCTATTTTAATCAAGGGTCCTGGCTTTAACACTGGTGTTATGTTACTAGACCTTGTACGTTTGAGAGAGTTCCATTGGTCAGAACACTGGTACCAAACAACAAAATCTGCATTACTGCATATACCTTATGCAATGTTAGCCGATCAGGTAGGTAAATGGCAAATTTTTCTCATTAGTTTATCATATTAATCAAGCTCAATAAAAATTCCTATATTTTTCTGAACATTATGTCATTGCAATTATCAGCTATACAGAATTGCAAACATGCAAACTGATTATTTCTTTTAAAGTAATATTTCTATACTTGTGAACATATTTTCAAACCAAATATCAAAGTAAATAGTACAACTCATAACCATAATATACTTGATAGTTGATACCATAGATCTACCTATTTTTTCGTTAATGATTGATAATATCACTAAGATGTGCGTATTGGATTGTAATAACTGTAAAGCAGAAGGGGTTTTGTGGAGATTGTAATAATTTCAACAGTTGAGATCATGAATCAATTGAAGCTAGACCACCATCGAAAATCTGGAAGCACTGGACGGCCGTTTCGTCCTAGTATGGGACTCCCCAGCAGTGCGCATTCACGACCTCGCCTCTCGGGATTCGAACCCAGGACCTATCAGTCTTGCGCACACAGGTAACTGTATATACTAATAAAAGCCTTCAATTTATTTAGTGGTTTTGAAAGAATGTATGACTTGGAAATGAATGTGGGCGCAGTGTCGGTAATAAACATTAGTGATATATATAACTAATAAAACTGAGCTTTAATACGGTCTATATTACTCAATTTATCTTAAAGTTTGCTTCAGTTGTAAATGATTTTTTAGTCACTAATGAATATGTTTATCTATAAACCAACCATTTCCTATTATCTCCTCTTAAAACTTCTAACTTATCACTAACGTCTACCGACTGCCATTAATAATCTATATCAAAATTATTATTGAACTTACTTCTAAATTTTTACTTCTCTAATTTTTTTCCATCATTTGTAAAAGTTAATGGACGTTTAGTTAAAAAAATTTCAATGACTTCACTTATATTCATTTTTTTCATGGTAAACACTAGGTCTTTTTTTCTGATCATTGATAATACTTTCATGGCTAGCGATAGTTCTCGTCACGAACTAATATCAATTGAAGAATCAGTGAATATTAAAAAGCAATCGGTAGATTTATGTTTGGTTAGGACTACTATATAGCAGTTTATACTATAGACTTTGCGCGGAGCCCAGTTCGGGAGGTCGAAGTCTTTCCATGTACATGATTTACTCAATGAACCGAAATTTCGACTTCATCGAATGTGAGACATAGCACAAATATTTAAAGAAAACACTAGCCTAATTCAAAAAATCATTTTTGAAACTGTAATAATGTGCTATTAAAGTTAGTTTAGGGCTGTTAGTTGAATCAAAAAATTGATTTTCTCTATACTTGAGATTCGTCAATTGAACTCGCCTGGGTCACTCTATTGATTTTCACATTAAGATTCGAATCAACTGAAATCTAGGTACATTTTATTGAAGAATTTCAAATAGGACGAAACCAGAGTCCCAGATTATATTGCTAACATTAATAATAAATGCACTTAAAATACCAAGGAAATTCACTGAAGTCGAACGTAAGTCAATATCAAATAATCAATTACAGTCCATAACATCAACGATAGAGAAACACGAACAGTCAAATTTTAAAATAGATTGTTGATAGTTTAGAATCTAAGAGTTTACTTGTTAATACTAGTTCAATGTTGTACTGTAAGTTGTAACATATCCTTAATTAGCATATTTACTACGGCACGTTTTGTTGTAACGTGTGTGACTGCAGGTTTGATAAGCAGTGTATTATTGATCGATTACAGTGACAGTGACACGTAAACACGTAAGGACGACCTAGTGCCCTGATTGGACCTGCTTCGCTGTCTGTCCCAGCCAGTTGAGTCAAGAAACACAAGTCACAGCCTCTGGGTTATGAATCATTATATTTCAAACATACTTTGTTTATAGACCAATCAAGCATACCACATCGTACCATAAAAATAGAAAACAACATTTTGTACAATATCCAACAAGTGAACAGATATCGACCAATAGGAAATGTCCATTTAAAGTCCAAGGACACCATTGGACTTAACATGATAATTATTGGTCTATTCCTCCGCATCCACAACACGTTTCAAGTTTGAAAATATTATTTCTATCCATTTATAATCGTTTTAATTTCAACACTATTCTACCACTTTGTTTTATTTTAATTACTTCAAGGACATAATTAACGCAGCTTTAGTAGAAATTCCTTCAATTATTTATCAATTACCATGTGAATGGAATGTTCAACTTACATCTAGTATGAATACAAAATTATGTCAAGTAATTTGGTCAAATAATTATCCAATTAATAATGATAGTAATAATGTACAGAATTTTAATTCAAATACATTTGAATCATTTAATCATCTTTTAAAAATTGCTCATTTTAATTATCCAATTAAAGCAGATATGATTACATTGAATGAAATTATAGATGATGATCAATTACGTAAGTTGATAGATAAATAATAGTCAATGAAAATGTTCTTTTTAATAATAAATAACAATATCCATTGTGATGGTATTTACGGTTGAATAAACAAACAGACATATATAGATATAAAACAAGACAAAATAACCATGCATCATAGTTCAGTAAATTGAAACAATAGATATTAATTAGAACATTGAAACATCACAAGTACGAAAGTACAAAAAAAGTATTCGATAGTAATTAAAAACAATTTGGAAAGAAAAAGAATAAATAAAGTTATATAATCAATATTATTTTCAAACTACACCAATTAAGATTTCAGAATACTAGATCATTATACCTTGTTGAGGTAGCTAGAAAAATCCCACTCTTTTTACTTGACTTAGAAGAACATTTAGTGACTTTATGAACAATTCAAACAATTCAGTATGAAGATGTTTTACATGGTTCATCGATATCAATTCTGGAACTATAGAAAATAAAGAGGTGATAGCCAGCTATTTCGGTCTTGTTTTATACTTTCATCAGTACACATCATTGGTCTATACAAATTTGATCTCAAGACCATTAAGATCGCTGACGAACACGGTAGCTACAGACAACTAAATTTCTTAGTTTAATTTGATGATCATCTATTTTCACTAATAATCCCTCTTTAAATCTGAATAAGAATGACTTTTACCGGCCGAAATTTCTAACTTTAATATCAGAGATCTTTAACAAGTTGTTCAAGTGGTACCAACCTATAACAAAATACACTTGTATTTTCTTTTACAATTTAACCTTTCGATGATTTCATTATATTCTACAGTTCTTATGATTTCGTTATGGTATGCTCTACACTGAAACACTGTATGAATAAAACACATCATAAATTACTACTGAAATGCATTACAGTTTTATTGTCTTTTTTTTCAGGTCTAAGATTAAAACGACAATTTATGAGAATGTATCGTTATTATCAAAATTTTGATGGGACAATAGTTCAATCACCCGTGAAACTAATATCATGTTCAAAATACTATAATCCTACTACTTTCACTCACAAAGTAATTTACTTTAGTTTTTGAAAATAAACATAAATATAAATTTTCATTTCTTATGAAAAGATAAAAATCCATTGCACTTAGTCCATGTAATCTTTATGTAGTATCCAGTTCTTAATTATGTTAATGTGCTAGAATGAAAGAAATCAGACACTTGAATTATTTTCATTTAAAATGGTTCTATGACGATTAGGAGTATTTGAATTATAGTACGAACTAAGAATCCCAGAAATAACGTAATCGGATCAAGAAGTACTAGATAAGCACGAACGAATGTGTTGTATTTGGAATTCGAAACTAAGCATTCAACAAGTACAAGGGAATCATTAGTTCATTCAAACACCACAGTTTCTTTCTAAGGATTCATATTTTTAATAAATATTATTTAACAATTTAAAAACATCAAATTCTTTAGACCAATAATAACTTCTTGATTGAGATCATGAATCGATCAATGTTAGGTCGCCATTGAAAACCTGATAGCACTGAACGGCCTTTTCGTCCTAGCATTAAACTTCTCAGTGGTGTGCATCCACATTCCTGCACAGAGAACCTCCGATCTCACGCGAACGCTTAACCTTTAGATCATTGAGCAAAATATTTGTGTTGATTGGGATACTGCTCAGCAGCATAAAGAGAAACAGATAGTTTTCTTAGAGTTACACCTTCAGGCCTTTAGACTTAATTTCTAATCAACAAGTCACTAGTGTAACATTAAGAAGTATATAATCTCCTGATTTTCGATATCTGTCTAATTAAAGTCAGTTAATAATGTTATGCTATTACTCAACAATCTTCACTACCCCATACTCATAATAATAACTTCATTTTGTAATGTTACTAATTGTTTACATGTTATTTTTGTAATCCAGTAATTGAAATAACTGTGAGTATTCATGACCCCATTCTCATCACGGCTAAACATTAATTTCAGTCAGTCAGTCAGCTACAACGTAGGACCAGGCACATATATGCATCGGTCCATGTTGCCCCACCTCAGTACCACAGCAAGTTGAACACCTAATTCATTGAAGTAGTCACATCAATGGTGGTAATATATAAAAGAAAGATAGCATCTAAGGATATAGTACAGGAAGAAAGAATTAGTTCGTAGAAAGAAAGATATAAAAAGATTTTAATCTCTTAGTTTAGGAGAAGACAGAGAGTGAATACACCTACTCCATTGTGATCGATTCTGAGCCATGTCACAAAGAATCTCCAACCATTGGTTACGATTGTCACGCGGACCCCAACCAAGTAGTCTGCATCTACTAACATGGCTAAGACTAGAAGTTAGTGACTTCAAGCACTGATGACGCGTTTTGCTTTGACCGCCCCTAAGTTTCTTCCAACCATCTCCAACACCGGTTAGCATTGCACGTCGTGGTAATCGATGTTCAGGCCTTCGTAAAACGTGGCCTAACCATCTCAGTCGATGAGGATTCACAACCTCACCAACTGATTTGCCATCATTCCCTAATACCTTGCTTCTAACCTCACTATTACTTACCCGGTGATCACAGCAGACGCCAGCAATATTTCTAAGGTATCTGTGGTCAAATACTAATAGCTTACGAGTATCTTCTACTCTTAATGGCCATGTTTTGCTGCCGTAAATTAAAACATAACGGACTGCCGCGCAGTATACTTGTCTCTTAATTGATAGACAGATATCTCGCCTTCGCCATAGGTGACGTAAGTTGGCAAAAGCCAAACGAGCTTTTCAAATCCGTGCTGAGATTTCATCAGACACCAATCCATTAGGGCTGATCAAACTCTCAAGATAAGTGAAGTTGTCAACACGTTCGACTACTTCACTCCCTTAAACGTTAATTTAGTTACGAATGCTGTCCCACATATTTTTTTGGATCTGACTGAAAGCAAATGTTATTTAATACCTAACAGGTTGATTTTCTCAAAAATAAATCTGTAAAAACTACATTGATTATAAAACTATGAAAAAGAAAATATTTAATTTACTAAACATTAGTTAGACATCTCTACAAATTACAGTCTATTCAATGAGCTAATTGATTAAAACAATCAACTTTCAATCAATTCAATCTAAATCTATCTTATCTACCCTCAAATGTGTTACTGAATTGTATCTCTATCTATTATGTAAACAAACATGATAAATTGTTCTTTCTATTTAGTAATTAAATATTACATATACAACATGTGTTATTTTCATATCTTTCCTATAGATTAATCAAATAAATTCAAAAAATATTATCACAATTGATGGTTGTGAAGAATTTTCAGAAGATTTACTCAAAATACGTCGGATACATCCATATTATTTTAGATATAATTTTCCTACGTTTTCAATAAATAATCATAATAATAATGTAACAAATATGAAAAATCATGTTAGCCTTGTTTCACAATTAACTTTTGATAGGTAAGTGAATCAAAGAATTCTTTCTCTTGATTTCTGATCATACTGAAATAATGAATTACATAGTTTAAATATTAATAAGTTTCAACTTACTGGGTTCGAGTTCTGGAGTGAACATCAACTCCGAGATGCAGGTACATCCACCTGACAAGTTCCGAATAGGACGAAACGCGCGTCCTGGATTCCACTTCTAGCCACTATCTATCTTTGCTTATAATGCTTGTGACTTAAAGCTATTTCGAGGTAATCCGCACAGGATCCACATATGCCAACATAAAACTGGTCAATTGCAGTCCTAAATAACAATGGAAAGATACAAGTAAAAACAACAGCAAGTGAATTCAAATAAAAAGATTGATGGGAATTTAATGTTTTTGGTGATTTAAAAGTTATATAAAGCAAACCAGAGAAAAATTTTCTCACGATCTTCATTGGATGTTCTTAATTCCACAATATTTATTATATTCGGATTATAGTTAATAGTGTATAAAGTGTCAATGTTTGTAATAATAGATACTGGGTTAAGGATTCAGTGTAATCATTATAACTGAGATAGACGGATATCTTCTAACCACAATCTAAATGTATTGGAAATTATAGCAGAGTAGCAATTTCAATGTTCAGGATTTATAGATATTAAGAAAAGGCTTATAGAAATTTAGTCCTAAATATTAACAGTCAAATAGTTTCATATCATATGGAACGTTGTCATAATTAAAATTACATACCCAATATAACTTCTGCGTTTTAGTGACAAACAGTCTAAAATAACAAAAGTAAACTATTGAGTTACTAGAAAAAGATGAGGATGTTTCAGAGAAGAAAGTTCTCATTTTCGGTTATTTAGTTGATTAAGACTGTATTATTATATTTATAATTACATTTTATTTTTCTCATCATTATTAATGGCTTTATTCAATATTATATTAAGTTCAACATGGAATCAGCACAAAGTATCTCAATAGTTTTCTTTTAGAAATAGAAAAAAAGCAATCTGTCACTGAATACATAGATACATGAAATAAGTAAATTAACTATCTGAAATTAAATGAAATGTCTTCAAGAATCTATACAGCTTTTAATTAGCAACATGTTTAGGAATAAAAGTCTTGGGTTGGGTCACCTCTTGAAACCTGTTCGTCCCATAATATATTTGCTAGATATGATATTGTGGAGCCTTTGAACCTTGACTTGGGTGCATGAATTCCAATTTATTGACGTCTCATTTTATCAGAAGATATGCAAAGGGAAAGATGTGAATGAAGTGGATGGTTAGTATATGACAAGGTGACACACCAATAATTTGTAGGATTTTAAATATTTATCTACTACCATATTCACAACAACCTCAAAAGATTCACCTCACACTCTACTAACTGACTTCAGTAGTCCCAGAAACTGTGATCAATAATAAAATCGGGAATCGTTAGAGTCAGTAAGAGAGGCGCTAAAGCCTAATCAAAATTCATTGCTACATAATGGCCAAATAATTACAAAAATTTGAAGGACATATAAAAGTGAGATATGATTGTCTAAATGACGATTATTAGAAAGATAACGAAGAAAAAGCATAAATATATGAGCAAATGACTAAAGAAATGTGAAAGATTGTAGAACCATAGTAAAGAAAGAGACTGGATATACATCTTCGGAACAAAATAAACACAGTCGAATTGATGAATCACCAAAGTTCCTTACGTACACAAATTTCTTAGCCAGCCTCCTTCAGAACCAGTTCTTCGTACACTATGAATAATTTTGACTGAAGAATATAATGGACGTTAATGACCAGAACTGATTAGATTTTCAACAATCGAGCTGTTGACAAACTTGCATTTACATGTTGATAATCATCCTGAATAGTGTTCAGATATGCGTTTGGAAGAAGCACACTTTTCTAATGATGTAACGAATCCCTATTTTATTATGGACCATCTATTTTTTCATAATCGTTTTTTTTATTTACAGATTGCATCGACTTGAAGAGCTTGCAATAAGATGGCTTGGACCAATGAGTTTAGCACTGTATTTAACTGATAGAGAAGCAACATTGTTGACAGAGTATATTACAAATTCTCGAATTCTACAAAATCGTACAAATATTGGTTATCATATTGTATATGTAGATGGAGTGAGTTTAATTACTGATATTGGTTTATTGTTTGGCCCATAAATTATATTTTGTTAGAAACATAGAAATTGTATTTATAATACAATAAGGATATTTATTTCGAAAATATTCTAGTTACTTTGCAGTTAAAAGAAATGACACCAAAGTCGTTAAGGATTTCAAATTCTCTGTTGCTGGTGTTTAGGTTGATAAGGGATAGGTCTATGTTACCATATGTGCATTCTGAGCAAAAAAAAATTAAAGAAAGCTGTTCAGGATTCATATACAGCAACAGATATAGATCAAATGTAGTCATGATTACCGACAACAGTATTTGATTTTGCGCATGATTATAGCATTGACCTTAGTGACTAATGCTTATCAGACTAGATTTCAGTTGTCTGTTTTATCAATTATTATTTTTGTGTGTTATAATCACTGTATATAAGTATTATTTCTACAAAATATACAGCTTTAAAAGATGAAGTAATAGTCTGTACCACCTTTTTAAATACTTATAAATATACCAAAAATGTAACTTTATTTAACGCACTTAATTGGCATCCTCCCTATTTTTAAGATATTATGCTCTGTTTACCGACTAATAAGTATTACGTAGCAATTACTAGTGTTTGATTACGTGACTTTACTTGGTTTTATTGTAGAGAAAAGATTATTAATATTGAGTAAAGTAGTTTTTATCAGATTTTAGTGATTAAATCGAACAAACTTCCACCAAAAGTTTTACTCTCTACTGAAAACTCTCAGATATTGTTATTTCCCTACATTATTACGATTATCTGTACAGTCTTTCAAAGTAGGATTCCTCATGTAGGTTATAATCACTAGAAAAAGTCAAACATGAAGTCGCTAATACAGAATGTCTATAAACTTAAAAAACAATTTGAACCGGTCGACATTATTTTTTATATACATGTGTAAATCCATGGCAAACGTTTTCTTCTATTTACTTAACATATCATATTAGTGAAATTCTTCATTATGTAGTTTGAAATTTTGATGTAAATCCAGATAATGGATAGTGTAACCTTCCTCAGTAGTATCATTCATAATGTATGTGCTAATAGTCACTTTGTTTCTCCAGCTTGAATTCGCTTTAGTTTTTTATTAAAGACTACTATTTTATCATGAAGTACTTATGTTGTGAACGAGAACTCAGGTGAGGACAATCAATTTATTGTTTAATATAAAATTACAGAATATCTTCATAAAATCTGAAAACCATATTTTAAATGCTTCATTTGCAAACCTTCCATCAATTATCCTTTACATTCCGTCTGATTCTTCCAATTCACAATTTTTTTCCATTTCCCTTTCTGCTTTCTGTAATTCATTCTTCTTAGACTTCTGTTGTCAATTATTCAACTTTTGATTGGTGTTACATACTACTTGTATCGACAGACATAATTAGCATACACCACAGTTATAGCTTGCATAAATCGGTTTCAAAACGTGAACTGAAAAACCAACGATTCATTTTCAGTCTATAAATTGCATTAAAAAACGCCTTTATGTTGATGTTTTTGAGTTTTCAATTAGTAATAATAAATGAAGTATCTTACATTCAAGATCTGTGTTGAATTATGTGCAAAAAAGACTGATTGAGTCAACATCCTATTTTCAATGAAAATAATTTATATTATAACCCATTGTGTTATTTAGTTACTGTTAAACGACACTAGATTTCTACCCTTTATTACCGCGATGATAAAATTATTCACAACTTGAATGAAAACTGAAATAGTAAAGATTATAAATTTATATCTTTAGTTCATTAGGAAGCTCTTGAACGACACATAGGAAAGCCACTTCAAACAAAAAATAAATATTGTCATCTCAAGTGAATGTTAAATATTCTGAGTGTTTTCATTTCAGTTAGAATAATAATGTTTATTTGAAGCGAATTGAATACCTAAAAACAGTCAAGGTAACAATCAAAGCTAATCACAAAATGTGACAAATCAAGTTCTTAACTATAAATCATAACTGATTACATTGAACATTAAAAGTTATTTTAAATAAGAACTTGGCTAATATGCAAGTATGGATCACTATATTTCAATTTATTGACTAGATGGTAATGTGTTTTTCACCTTGACTTTGATTCAGCATAGTGTTCTTTGTGCAAACAGTGATGGTTACGGGAATTGAATTTGGTGTCTGCACAGTGCTTCCTGATTTTTTGGTTAATCATCTGATGTTAAACTTCGATGAAAATTACTTTCTAATAAGAAAGTAGAGAATGAAAACACAAGGGTGGACAATTGAATTTATTGCGACACAAAATTACAGAACATCTTAGTAAAATTCAGAACCATACAATAAATACTTCATTTCCAAGAAGTCAGTCAATCGTCTCGGACTTCACTGTTCCTTCATTTTCACAGCAATCGTTCTCCGTTCTCTTTCTCTTTTATTCGATCTTCTTAACCTTCTGCTTTCAGGTATTCCACCCTCGATTGGTGTTACATACTACTCATATCTGTCGACATCAGTAGTACACACCACAAGAGTATCACGTTTATATCTTTGTAGTAAGAAAGAATGTTAATCAATAATTTTCTGTTCAATATAAACAACAGTTGAAGTTCTGTGATAGATTATTATTTGGAATATTTTTTTGTCCATCAAAACTGTATTGTAAATAAGTGGGAATATGGACATTTTGTGCAAAGGAAAAGGGATCCTTTAGTACAAATAGTTTCCAGTAATATAATTTCAGTTACTAGAAACATTTGAAATGGTAAGCAAGTTTTCATTTGTCAGACACATAAATAAAATCAACTCAAGTGTTTATTAAATATTTGAACTTCATTGAGAAAATATATGTGAAAGGATGAACTTATGTTTCTTTCATCGTATTAAATAGATTATAACAATCCCAAAATTCACATGCTTTAAGCAATGTAATTTTCCCTTAACCTGATCATTTTTCGGATTACTAATTTGGATATAAAATTGTAGAACCTGAAGAGAATTTATCGAAAAGAATATTCTTCGTTCACATATTAGCCTTCTAATATGATAGGGATTTTTAAACGATTATAAATGTAAGCAAAGATGGATAATGACTAACAGTGGAATCCCGGATGCGCGTTTCGTCCTATTTGAGACTTGTTAGCTGGATGTACCTGTAAAACAATACTATGTGGATTATAAATGTATTTGAAATTTGTCTACGTATCATATGTCATATTCCAATTTTGATATTTACCAATTTTTTTTTCTATCTTTATTTTACTTTTTTTTAAAAAAAAACAAAAAAAAGAAATTTTATCCGATCAATCTATTACGTAATATTGCTATAAAATACTCAATAACGGAATTTATATTTCACATTGATATTGACTTTTTACCACAAGAAAACATTATTGATTCTATTGAAAAATCTATAAATGAACATTTTATACAAGTAAGTAAATATTGAAGTAAAATGAATCAATATTCTGTCAATATATTAGTACTTAATTTAAATAAGATATTGGGATTTAAAAGGTTATAAACATTGAAACATATATTACCTTACATATAATTCATTTTGGTATTGGTTATTTAAATCTTATTAATGATTAGAACTATGATTGATCGGTCTTTAATTGGCATATGTACATAATGTGCAGATTGCCTTGATATTACATTAACTCACAAGCAATATAAGGAGAAATGGATGGTGACTAACAGTGAAATCTAGAACACGCATTTCGTTCCATTTAGAGCTCCCGGAGTCAATGTAAACTCTGTGATACCTTAAATACAGACTGAATAATTTACTTACTGGAATAATTTCTATGAAACTAGGAGGTAGTTTATAGATTACATACAGGTGTATAGGTAAAAGCATTCTCTATTTTAAAGTGTTGATACCGGGTCCCAAAATTATAAATAGAATTTAATAGATTGAATTATATAGAAGTTTAGGATAAATTTTTATAAAAAATATTAATTTGAAATTATAAGTAAGTAAAATACGTTGAAGTTTGTAAACATTTTCAAATGATTATGAAAAAAATATGGGTTATTTGGACGAATAACTGATTTTGATAACTTTGCCTTCAGGCTCCCTAGTTATAAGTTCATAATTATTATATTATATTATAAAGGTCTATATAAGATATGCTAGTTAATCAAACAATGTCAATGTTATAAATGGTGAACATTCACATCTGTTAGGGTATATATATTTCAAGATTGTGTCAACTGTAAATTAGAAAGGTCACTAACTAAAGGTCGGAAGGATTCGTTGTAAGATATCAAGTTCGAATGAATAATGATGAAACAAATCATGTGAATAAAACGGATACTTAGAGAACCTTTTCTCGTTCATGGAGAGAATAATAATAATAACGTCGGGTGAATACAATGTATAATAAGAGAGGTACTGTCAAAGTAATTATGATAAGAATTCATTTGAAACGGGAAACATGAATGCATAGATATAGAAAATGTCTTGCCAGATATGAACACTTATTCTCAACATTCATCACTTGATTCTTACATAACTACTATAGTACTGACCATTCATCAAAATATTTTGTTAGTTCATTTTCATACATTATGCAACGTAGCGACTACTTGATTTTTGAATAATTAATTTAACCATGATTAATCCTCTTTCTTTCAATTACTCAATATTGATCTATAATCAATATGTCATTATATAAATATTACGTAACATATCTACTCGATGAGTATTATTTCATTATTGTAAATCACATATATTAGTGTAGAGCCATGATGAAAAACTAGCTGAAAAGAAATTTCTTCGCTTGATTCGTTCCTTCTTTATTTACAAAAGGGACTGGAATGGGGTAAGGGGTTTATATTATTCAGTTTAGATATATGGTGATTCAACTGTCGACCAGCATAGACACAGGGGCTGAGTATACCTGTTATGGTTTTCTGGAGCTGATCCAGATGAATTCAGCCATGTGGATAAGTAGATCGTTTGGAATTTGATAGGAAACAGAGAAAACTTCATTTATTTTAATATGACATTCAATACCAAGTGAGAAAGGCGTTGTTAAATAGGTTTCGTGACTCCTTATCCCAACCATGCCGCTAGGTGTTCACGAGCACGCAAAGATAAACTCCTCTGAGTATGGCCTACGTAAATAGCTCCACAAGAGCGGTTGAACTTGGGCTTTCGTTGGAGGAGGAGCCCGTCATCAGTAACTTATCCTTGATTTGTTGTGTAAGTATTGGTTTGATTGAAAAGATTATGTGAAACTCGTTGGCTTGAGATGTTCTTTCAACAGACCTTTTGAGTCAATGTGTTAAAATGTCACCTGCTATGTTAATTTATAATTGAGTTTTAGATAAAGTTTTTTCACTTACCGTGTCGAAGTTTTTTCTGATAGAAATTTTCTGACGAAATCATCTGGATATTCATTATTTCCCAATGTGTTATTTAGTTTATTTATTTCACTATCTGCACTATCTTAACAACATAATAGTTTGATACTATGGCTGTGACATTTAACCAGATTTATTTTGTGCTAAAGAGGTGTAAATCTATGAAAATGGGTATACTAACCCATCCATATATTCATTCTGAATTAAGATTTTTTAAAATGGAACTGTCTATCCTTCTAGTAAGCAGTAAATCAACGAAATTTATACTGTTATCAGTTTCCTCTTCACTAATAAATTTAATATCGGAGTGAACGCCATTGAAACTGTTGAACAGCTCCAGTTTATTGATATTTTTGTTGAACAGAACTTGCGTGTCATGTATGTACCAATAGTAATAATCTAGTTTATTCAAAATATCTTTCAACTGTTCATTTTCCAGTTTGGTTAAGAAAAAATACTAAGCACTTAGAAGCATACTTTACTTTCCATTCGATTTCATTCTGTTTTAAAAGAGGAAGACTTCAGTTTCAGTAGGGATTTAAAGAATTTATTGGGTATAGATTCACTACGATATAAAGACTTATGTAGTGACTGTGCTTCGTTGACCAATCACCCTCGTAACCGTTATCATATTATCCTCAACGGTGTTTGAAATCAGAAGGTAATGAGAAGCAGCGACTACAGTCTTATTAGCAGATAACTCAGATCACAAAGCAGTGAGTCGAATGAGTGAGCCAGTGAACCGAGAGTGTTGAGTGTAAATGTACATGTATATATATAGGGAAATGAATGGATCATCGAGTTAATTAAGCAGCTAATATTAAAGCTAGCAGAATGGATGTATGCGTAGGCGGTAAATAATGTTCAAGCATATGCATATTTCATACAAGCACAACAATAATAAAGGTACAATAAGTTGTTATAGTACGGATGACTGTCCGCTGAATAAGTTAACAAAAGGGCTTAACTGAGTTAAATGAGAAGAAACTCAATTGCACGTGAGTTGCTATACTTACTAATTCATAATGATGCTTAAATACAAGAGTTTTTATAAGTAATAACTTGTATTTTCTTTTAGAAATGTTATATATTTCTTTTATTATAGAACAATAAATCACAAAATATTTGTTTAGTAGTGCCAGCATTTGAAACTTTTAAAAATCATTTAAAACTACCAGAAACAAAAAAGATTTATTAAATTCTTGGGAAATCGGAGAGATTTTACCATTTCGGCATAAAATCTGGTCAGCTGGTCATATGTCAACGAATTATTCACATTGGAAATTCTCTAACAATGATTACGAAGTATGTCGGTGTTGAAAAGATATTCAATTTTAATAATATATATATACTTAGGATATTTTCAATATAACTGTAGTTAGTTATACTATTCACTGGTTAAGAAATTCAATCTATTCACCCTAAAACACATTTATTGGTCCTAAATCTGTATTTGACTCTAGTAATATTGTATAATTGATTGTTATTGAAATATATATATATCGTCAATCCTCGTATAAAATCATCGACTTAATTCGCATTGGTGAATGATGGAATCAAATAAATCAAATTCGAGAATGAAAGCTTGAATACGTATATTTTGTACACTGGTTGATCTGGACAGAAAATCAGAGGGACAAAGCGAGAGAAGCGAAGTCAGATGACACGCAGTGGAGAAGGCGTGTGAGTCAACTCGATTTAATCAAACGCTAATCAATATTTATAGTCAGATAAAAATAAGTTGCATATATGTGATGAGTAAGATAAGAAGTGCACTCACATTCGCTCATATAAAAGAGTCAAGGTTAATAAGCGAATAATTAACAAGGTCAAAATGTAGCTTGATAAGAATGGTTAAGTTAGTTTGTCCAGAATAACCTATGTGAACTTAACATAGAAGCTGGCACTACACACATTTCAGTTTAAATGTAAAATTAATATACAATGAGATTTTAGAACACCTGGTGAAAATCAACTAGAAGAGTAAAGTTAAATGAGTTATTCTGCACCAACTGTTCGGTTTAAAAATAGTTTACTGAACTCTCATTGCTTCGTAACTCAGAATTTACACTGATTGGAATCTAAGAGTTTAAAGTAGATATTCATAAAAAGGGAATGTATAATATTTTCTTCATATTGGTTAACTTGAAGAATACAATATAGTGGCCCGGTGTCTGACTCCCTTTCGATCATATGGTCGTTGTCGAGGTAACAAAATATACATCGCGGCTATCGTCGTATATTATTATTGACTTAAGTCGCGTTAGTGAATAAAGGAATTAAGTCAAACACGTGTATTCTATACAATCATTGATCCAGATAGACAATCGAAGAAATGAATCGAAGAAAGCAAGAAAAAAAGAACAAAGTGAAATGAATTGCGATGGGGAAGGCATGTAAGCCAACTCGATTTAATCAAGCGTGGCTCGATATTTATAGCCACACAAAAATAAACTACAGGCATGTGATGATCAAGATAAGAAATCCACATACATACGTTTACATAAAAACAGTCAAGATTGATAAGTGAATAATTAACAAGGTCAAAAATGTAACTCGGGAAGCTAGAATATGCTATATGTACTTCCATAGAAACTGAAACTACCTTGTGATATCTTTTATACATAACATCTTTCTGGGTTTTCTTCGTATATGTTTCACAAGTTTTCTTTTAAAAATTCAGTTTAAATATAATTTTATTTTGATTTATGTGTGTCTATAAGTTGTTAGACAGATTCACTGTACACTTGTACTAATAAATGTGAATAAAATGTCATGCGCCATCTTTCTTTGCAAACTTATAGATTGCTGAGCATTTAGAATTTAATGTTCATTCAGAATATGACATAATTTAGAGTATTTGCTTTAGTATGCCTAGATGCGAGATTTTGTTTGTATTTATCTTTCTTCACAAATACACATAAGTTGGTAAATGAAGATAGAATTGACATAGTGCTGCTATGTACTCAATTTTCTCTCTTGTTACCGAACATTATGATTGTATATAGTACATCTTGAGGTTATTGACTTAAAGGATCATGTATACTTGTTTATATATGCTAGAAGGTAGGAAAATAATTTCAGTGATTATTTCAATGATTTGGGTTAAATATCAGTACGAAAATCTACGCACCTAGACGTAGAGTTACAATGATTATTGGTTACCTTGAACTTCCAGATTAACGAACTGAGTAAAATAAGGATTAGTAATCAATCAACTATAAACATACCGAATGATAGTTATGTATATTTTATATATATCGAACCTCTTACTGTAGAATTAAATACAAGAGCTTTCTGCACTTTGATTAGCAATTTTTAAGCAGCCTTTTTAATACTCATTCCAACTTTTGACCAATCAAATCAATAAACAAACTAGGATGACTTTTTTGTCCTCATAATGATGTATAACCATCACCCGTAATAATATTAAGTAATTTGTTTGATGCTTTTGATGTTTTCTCTATTAAAGGTACAATGGTCAGCAGATTATGAACCGTATGTGATTGTCTCACGTTATACAACAATGTTCGATGAAATTTTCATTGGATTCGGTTGGAATAAAGCCTCATATATTATGGCATTAGATGCATTAGGTTATAAATTCATTGTTCTAACCAATGTATTTCTTATACATTTACCTCATCCACCAAGTTTTGAAGTGTTTCGTTATCGAATGAATTCAGTTTACAAGTTAGTTATTTAAAAGTTTCCTTCAATTATAGTAAGATTTCATAAGACACTATATTGAATCCCATATGAAAATTAACTATCTACACTTACTGACTTTCGTTCATTAGTTTACAGAAAAATATAACTAAAGTAAATAAGAAGCTGCAGTCGATATTATTGAAACATAATACCCGAACATGTCAAAAGTAATAGATCTTTTGATATATCAAATTTAATAAGATATAACATCAAAACAATGTCTGGTAAATATATTTCATTTTTAAGGAAACAAATATCTATCAGTACTAATGATTGGTGTATGACGATATCCATTATTCTAAAGACTACTTGAAAATTATAAGCTAAGTAGTTCAGTTTCTCCAAAGATAATGAACTCTAGGCGCCGGAGGTCTTGAAAAAAACAGTCAAGATGAATGTGTAACTTGTATCTGTTAAGCTAATTTTACTGACCACCACCTGATTAGGAGTACATATTCAACACGTAAGTTAGTTCGTCAACGGTTCAACCGCAAATACGAGAGGTAAACAGAGATACATAATTATTGAAGTATTTCGTTATAACAGTTCAGTGTTAAACGTTTAGTAATTAGTTAACGATCCACAATAAATTATTGACTCATTTTTATTAATCCTATGACTATTTGACACCAAATTTGTAATCTAATATTCGCCTAGCATATTCATCAATGAAATCTAATAATCTGATTTGCTATTAAGTTGACTATGATCATTTTTATATATAGTTTAAATCTTTAATAAGTAGTGCTGAAATAAACATATTGAATGAAGCTTCCCTGAAATAACGAATGCATTACGTAATGACTTAAATATTGAATCAATTTACTCAACAAATCAATAAAACAATACTTTTCTAAATGTATTCTGAATAGTGTACATGCATTTATTATCATCCTCATAGGACACTTTCCTTTGATTTTTAACAAATGTAACGAATTGAGGTTGGATATGAAACCTAATCAGTAATTTAGGTATTTTCTAGATCTTGATTCTTCTACAGATGAACCTACTTTGATTTCGAGTAATTTCACACATTGGCTAGAGTTAGATATTGTGAATTATTAGATTTGATATAACTGATTATAATATATCATTTAAATCATAAGACCTTAATGTCCTTAGTTGGCTTCAAGTTTCGTCACACATGTATACTGCAAACACGTCTAGAACAAATGAAAGAATTATAAACAAAGATGAATGGTGGCTAGCAGTGAAATTCAGGACACGCGCTTCGTTCCGTCTGATACTTTTCAGCTGGATGTACCTGGGTAACACGATAAAGTTTGAAGTGAACGGTACTGGGTTGAGTCCCAGAGTGAACATCAACTCTGAGATGCAGACACATCCAGATGACGAGTCACAAATAGAACGAAACACGCGTCGTAGATCCCACTGCTACCCACTATCCATCTCCGCTTAAAAAGCTTGTGACTTAAAGCAATATCGAGGCAATCCGCACAGTATGCACATATGCCAACATGAGACTGATCAAATACAGACCTAAATAACAATGGAAAGATACAAGTAAACAATACTAAATAGATTTAAACAGAAGAATTGTTTGTTGTCTGTCAGTCTTTAATACTTTTTCCGCTTATATCAAATCTATATATAAGCTAACTTTAAAACAAACATTCTTTACGAATCCCTAATCTTAATGATTATGTTAAGAAGTTTTAATGTGTAGTATTTATGTGGAAAAGAAACACATAATTGTCTCAACTTAAAATAATAAATTTTTTAATTATATTGTATTCCCATTTACTTACAGATCATGTATTGACAAATTGAAATTGGATTTTATTAAACGTTTAGCAAAAAAACATGGTGTACAAGCATTAAAATATCTTCAGTTTCGTAAGGATTTACAAATAAACCAAAAATAAAACAAAATATATTGAATTCAATTATTATAGGATTTCATCAGATGATCATTTCTAATATGAACATGTATCAACCATTATACTTGAGTAAAAAAAATATACCTCGTTTAATTCAAACAAATAAAGAAAATTATTCGATCAACAAAATGATTACCAGATCTAATATTCTTTAGCCCAATCATAAAACAAACAAAAAAAGAGATCAAAATTGAACATGAAATAAATATCCTTTTATTTGTGATGTATTTAAACTTGTAAATTAGATACATTTTTATGTACATTATAAATGGACAGTAAGTTTATATATAAAGTATGAACAGAAATTACTTCTAGGAAGAACACTTGACTAAATATGACAAAATATGTATTTCTAACAGTTTTAGCAATGTATAAATAAAATTAATGTATAGAAAATCTAACAGAATCTTTATAAATATCATCAGGGGTTTTGTGGATATTATGGTAATTTCAATAGTTGAGATCATGAGTCAAGTGGAGTTCAACTTAAGGTCTGTTGTGAGATAGAAACTCACTGATGACAATGGTGGATGTGCCGATCAATTTCGTGGGTTAGTTGAAGTTAGAAATTAACACCGTTGAATGTCAACTCAGTGGTCTAATGTTTAAGCGCTCGAGTGCGAGACTGATAGGTTCTGGGTTCGAATCTCGAGAGGCGGGGTTGTGGATGCGCACTGCTGAGGAGTCCCACAATAAGGCGGAAAGGCCGTTCGGTACTTCCAGATTTTCCATGGTGGTCTAGATTCAAGTGACTCATGATCTCAACTATTAAAAGACTATTGTTTGGATACAGAATAAGATTTTTTTACAATAATCAGTGGATTTTGAAGACTTTTCATTATATAGATTACATCATAATAGAATAGTAAGTATAAATTTTTAGAAACCAGATAATACTATGCAATTCTGACCTCAGTATGAAATTACACATCAGTTCATATATATAATATCAAGAAGTTTGAAGTTACTTATTAAGTTCGATTCCTGCTGGTAGGTTTATGAGCACCCATTATCAGAGGTGTTCATACTAGGATATGACAGACGTTTTATGCCACTTGGTTTTTTTTTGTAGTTCTACGGATAGCTTCAATAATTATGTGTAATTTGTAATTTTTATGATCACAGAATACTCTCAACAAACCTCATTGCGTGTTTGCTTTTCAACTAAGCGAAAGTTATTTCGTGATGAAGTAATATGATTTTAGATCTTAGAAAAATATCCAGGAGTTTTATAAAAGTCAATAACAAGCTTCATTTTGGTTTGGAATGAATGAGATATTTTGTAGAAATACCAATTCCATTTATATAATTTCAAAGTCGACCTGAATATTCGTTTGAGTGGACATGATTAGAATTATAATAAACTCTCCTAAAGATCAATAAATTGTTTATTGAATATGGCTACAAAGTTTTCTCGATCCTGTGACATGTTAGTTTGATTTACGTTCAGCCTAGGGTCAGTGTTTAGATTGAAATACAAATTCAGAACGATTACTTTTTGAATCCAACGTGTTATCCGTCGAGCTACTGATTTCGAATAGTGACTAAAGTATACAGCGAGTATGAACGTGATAATAAGGGTTTTTTATTTCCTTTTGTTGATATTTAAGATTTAAACTGACTAGTCTCTACTGCTGTGCGTGCATTTTGAGGCGAATTACCTATAAATTGTGCCTTTTACTTTACCACTAGTTACCAAATATACTATAACGTGTGACAAAAGTCTATATTCGGGTATTTCTCTCAGGATGAATATATGGTTAGAAAAACTGGCCAATTGCAATCCTGATTGTCAACAACAAGAAATCTCGAATTCTTCCTAACATCAGTGACTTTCCATCACTATTACTTAAGGATTGTAGTTTAATTTCAATTTAGGGATCGGTATACAGAATCTTTCTAAAAAGTATGTTTGCAAAACGGATTATTTACAATGAATATGTGAATAAATCAATCATCACCAACACATAATTATTCAAGCCAGTCAAAATTTAGATTTCACGCATATCTTCATTTCTTAATAAATCACTTCTGGAAGTATAATTAGCTCTAAAATTATTGTAAAGCTTATTCGAAGCTACTGTTATAGAATATTCTTATTAATATTTCAAGTATAAAGAGCTTGACCATTGGAGCATGCTACTACACCGAACACCTACACATGACAGTTTATTTCAATTATGTTTCAAATAACAACATTTTTATGATCTCTAATGATCAGATCTAAATACTGAGACATGGAATTCATTGCCTTCTGACTTAACCATAACTGTATCAACAATTAGGCTGCTATCAACTCACATCTGGAATCACAGTCAACTCTTCAAAACCTGTCTTTACAAAGTATATAACACACAAGATGCTAAAAAGCTGTACAATGTTGAAAATGAGCACAAATCATTTCCATTTTGTGACTTTAAATCTGAAAAGAAAATCAGAATTCACCTATTAAATAATAATAAGGATGACATTTTAACATAAGTTGACTAAGCGTCAAGTAGGTATGTTAATGTTTTTGTCGTTAAACTTGAAGTTAATGTAGTCGGTCCATTATTTGAACAAGATGCTTTGTGTTACGAAATTCCATACTAATACAGAATATATGTTCATTGGTTTAGCTGACTTGAGACAATGATGCAAAACAGCCCCTAAGCTATAGGAAACATTCATAATCATTTTAAAAACTAATAATCAATGATTTCATTAGTGACTAGTTTTATAATATAGCTAACTTGTCTAGTGAGCCAATCGAGTACAAGTCAGTCATCTACAACGTAGGACCAGGCACATATATGCATCGGTCCAAGTTGCCATGCCTCATTAACACAACAAGATAAATACCAAATCTATAGAAGCTGTTACTTGTATGGTAGTAATATATAAAAGAAAGATTGCATATAATGTTATAATACAGAAAAAAAGTTATTTCTTAAAAATAAAGGTATAAAGTAATTTTAATCTCGCGGTTTAAGGGTAGACAAATAGTGTATACATCTACGCCATTGTTATCGATTTTGTGCCATGTCACCCAAAGTCTCCAACCACTGGTTACGATAGTCGCGCGAACTACAATCTAGTAATCTGCATCTACCAACATTGTTCAAACGAAAAGTTAGTGAATTTATGGATTGATTTCACATTAAGGTTCGGCAGCCCCTAACTTCCTTCCATGCATCTGTAACACTAATCAGCATTGCGTGCCATGATAGCCGGTGGTTAGGCATGTGTAATACATGGCCAAACCATCTCAATCGATGAAGATTTATCATCATAAACAATATTGTTTAATGGTCATATACTATTACAAACCAGTAAAACATTTTATTTATTGAACATTGTCTTAATGCTTATAAACTTAAATATCTACATAATTAACAACAAGTCTATGGTATGATGTATACTGACCATTATTAGTAGATTTTACTTTTAATTCTCAATTATCAAACATTATGGTAATAAAACTAAGCTTAGAAACTATCCAAATTTTAGACAATTCATCATCATCACCATCATTATAAAAAATAAAGCAAACTCTTTTTCATAACTAAGATTTCAATGATAAGTTACTAGGGAATAATAATAAGTAATGAAATTTAATATTTAAGAAATAATTGTATTAACGATTTTCTAATTTAAATTTAATTAATTTTTCTATAAACATACTTGGAAACAAGAGTAACATTTCATTACTTTGGATATTAATCTGTTGAATTACCTTATTTTATTCCCATGGGTCATGAATAAATTATTGTACAAAAATTTAACATTTAATCAAACTTATGTCACCAGGTATATATATAATGCATAAACGGACATTGGATAATTCATTGTTCTCCCAAAGATATCTAATGTAATGTCTTACAAACAAAAATCTGCTGATTCATACTTACTTACTTACTTACGCCTGTTGCTCCCAATGGAGCATAGGCCGCTGACCAGCATTCTCCAACCCACTCTGTCCTGGGCCTTCTTTTCTAGTTCCATCCAATTCTTGTTCATTTTTCTCATGTCTATTTCCATTTCCCGACGTAATGTGTTCTTTGGTCTTCCTCTTTTCCTTTGGCCTTCAGGATTCCATGTGAGGGCTTGTCTTGTGACGCAGTTGGGTGCTTTCCTCAATGTGTGTCCTATCCACTTCCAGCGATTCTTCCTAATTTCTTCCTCCATTGTGATCTGGTTTGTTCTCTCCCATAGTAGGTTGTTGCTAATAGTGTCCGGCCAATGGATCTGAAGTATTTTGCGTAGACAACTGTTAATAAACACCTGTATTTTCTGGATGATGGCTTTCGTAGATCTCCAGGTTTCTGCCCCATACAGTAGAACTGTCTTGACATTTGTATTGAAAATCCTGCCTTGGTGTTGGTTGAGAGTTGTTTTGAGTTCCAGATGTTCTTCACTTGTAGAAATGCTGCTCTTGCTTTGCCGATCCGCGCTTTCATATCTGCATCAGACCCACCGTGTTCATCAATGGTGCTGCCCAAATACCTAAAGGTTTTTACATCTTCCAAATCTTCTCCGTCAATTGTGATTGGATTGTTGCATGTTGTGTTGTATCGGAGAATCCTGCTTTTCTCTTTGTGTATATTGAGACCTACTGCTGCTGAGGCTGCTGCCACACTGGTCGTCTTTTCCTGCATTTGTTGTTGCGTTTGGGATAGAAGAGCCAGATCATCTGCGAAGTCCAGATCGTCCAACTGCATCCTAGATGTCCATTGTATCCCGTGCTTCTCTTCAGACGTTGACGTCTTCATGATCCAGTCGATCACCAGGAGAAAGAGAATGCTGATTCATACTTATTATCAATTTCTAGTGCATATAAATTTCGTTAATAGCAACATTTAAACATATAAGTATCGTCGAGTGATTGAAATTTGACATATAAATCATTGAATGACAGCTCAATGATGTAAATGTTTTGTACTGACTATCAATCTTTAACGTCTTGAGTTCTATCTCCAGTGAAGTTGTTTTGAGCGCTGTTATGGTATCACATACTAAAACAAAACAGATGTTAAATGATTCTTTTTTATTAATGGTTGTTTAACAAAGATCAGTTCGTGATCTGATCTATGAAATAAGTATTTTGCTGCATTATAACTAATAAAAAACTATATACTTTTGATACATGTGCAACGTAAAGGTTTAACTAGAAATTGTCCTGAAATATCTTTATCAAATACAGATAAGATGTACCATGAGCCAAAAGAAATTGCATTACGAAATGAATGTTGATTCGTGACAGTGTAACAATAAATTCAATTCATCAATACTGTTTGAAGATTTTTTCTTGTAATTCGAAATAAAATAGTGATCCTTTTAATTTTTTAAAGGACACTAATATAAAGTAGCTAATAAACTTA